CTCTTAAGGATCTTGGTAGGCTTTCTTATTTTCTTGGAATTGAAGCGCACCATACAGGAACATGTCTCTTTCTATCTCAAAAGAAATATATACGAGATCTCCTGCATCATTTTCATATGGCTGATGCTAAGTCGGTGTCTACACCTCTTGCCACCAATGAAGCTCTTAAACTCTCTAATGGTTCACCGCCAGCTGATGCCACATTATATCGCCAAGCTCTTGGATCGTTGCAATATCTTTCTTTAACACGCCCCGATGTCTCGTTTGCCATCAACAAGCTTTCTCTGTTTATGCATTGTCCTTCAACAATCCATTGGTGTGCTGTCAAACGTTTGCTCCGTTATTTAGCAGGGACTCTTGACTACGGCCTGGTTCTACGTAACAATTTCCCTCAAACTCTTCATGCCTTTGCAGATGCAGATTGGGCTGGAGACCTTAATGATCGAACATCGACCTCCGCCTATGTAGTCTTTCTGGGTGCAAACCCAATCTCTTGGAGTTCAAAGAAACAAAAGACAGTTGCTCGATCTTCTACTGAGGCTGAATACCGTGCAATCGCCTCCACCGCAGTTGAGGTCAATTGGGTCATGAATTTTTTTCAAGAGCTACGTGTGCCTCTATCTCCTACTCCGGTCATCTATTGTGACAATATAAGTGCTACATACGTCTGTTCCAATCCAGTTTTCCACTCTCGAATAAAGCATATAGCTATTGATTTTCACTTTGTACGAAAACAAGTCGCCAATGGTGCACTTCGTGTTTCTCATGTTCACACTTCTTATCAAATTGCCGACTCACTCACTAAGCCATTGCCTCGTCTTCATTTTCTTGCACATCACTCCAAGATTGGCGTCCGAAATGGCCCGTCAATCTTACGGGGGCATGATAGATCAACGAAATTAAGAGATGCTATTGTCAAGACATAATTGATACATACAATTATGCAGCAGATTCTTTGGCAGCAAATATTACTCTAGTCATTATGTAATATTATATATATATATATATATATATATATATATATATATATATATATATATATATATATATATATATATATATATATATATGTACATATATATATATATATATATATATATATGTGTATATATCGC